TTATTTGTGAATGCATCTAAATAAAAGAAGTTCTGTAAGGAGCTTCTTCTAACTAGAGAATTGACATTTTAAAAAAGACTATATTCAAAACTCGTGGAACCAGGTCTCAGATTCTAGAACAGGCGTCTTCAATTCCCTTCACGTCTCAATAGCTTCCTCCATAATCCCCTCCCATTTCCATGACTTCCTCCTCCCTTCCTGTCTGTTTCTGTCACCTTTTCCTCCTTCATCTTTGTTGACATGTCCTATTTCCATTTCTTTACCTGTTTAATCTTCCTCGTATAGACAGCGCTACAGCCATTTAACTGGCTTTCTACCCTCTAGTTCTTTTTAACATCTTGAACTCACAGAGGAAATGCAGTATTTTCAGCACACCTGTTCCTAGTAGTTGTTCATACTTGTTCTTGCTTGTGGTATCTTGTTTCCTCTGTTTCAGTCTCTTCTCACTCTGTTTCCTTCAGTTGTTGATTTCCCTGTTCTCCCTCCTGTCACCTTTTCCATCACACAGATAGCCGCTTTATCCTGCTCAGTTATTCCTGTCCTCTAATACCTAATACCTTTGGGATGTTCCTACGAGTTTTGCATTTGCTCTTATAGCCCACATAAGTAGGACCTGAGTATCTGGCTCATTTACTGAAACACTTGATTTGATTTACTTTCCTGTCTGTCTCTTCTTTTCCCTCCTACTCCCCAATTTTATTCATTTGCTTGTCTTTTCACTTTTGTATTATGATGATACTGGTGATTGTAGGTGTTTTGTTCATGCACATGAATGCTTGCGTGTATGTCTGTGAGTTCATGTGACCATGGGCTCAGAGAACAACCTTGCGTTTCATTTCAGTCCTCACCTTCCACATTGTTTGATTCAGGTCTCTTGGTGTTTGCCTACTGCATATGCCAGACCCACAAAACCACCTCTCATCTCTCCATAGGCTCACTGGGGTGACAGATGTGTGTGCTGCCTCACCCAGTTTGATGCAGGCATGGAGATTAGAACTCAGGTCCTACACTTGTATAGCATGCGTTTTACTCACTGAGCCATCTCCAAGTCCTTGGCTCATTCTCTTACGTAAATGATTTGGAAAAAGAAATAGACAATAGGAAAATAAGGGTTGACTTATGGTTCCCTTTAACCTTAGGAATTTGTCGTCATTTGGTATTCTAACTTCTCCTTGCATATCATGGGTTTGGATTTGTTCCTTTCACCGGCAGTAGAACAGAAGCTCTGAAGTACTGGTTCTAGTCTTGTGTTTCTTGTGTCAAACATTGGTTGCTTTTAAGGTTTTTAAAAATCAGGCATTGTATCCAGTGAGTGTAGTTGTGGGTATGTGCACATGAGTGCAACCACCAATGATGTGGATTCTCTGGAGCTGGACTTATGGGTGCTTGTGGTACTGGAAACTGAACTTGGGTCCTGTGCAAAAGCAGTAAGTGCTTTTAACTGCCCTCCCTTCAGCCTTTTAGGGTCGTTTTTGTTTTGTTTTTAGGATTTACTTTTGTTTTATGTGTATGGGTGTTTTGCCTGCATGTATGTCTGTGCACCATGTGCATTCAGAGCCTGAGGATGCCAGAAAGGGGAGGGGGTCAGATTCCCCTGGAACTGGAGTTGTAGACAGCTGTATGCCTTTATGTGGGTTCTTCTGGAGGAGCAGCCTGTGCTCTTAACTGCTGAACCATTTCTCTAATTCCCTTCTTGATGTAGTTTTAAGCTGAAAAAAATAATTTCTGGTTATAACCTCCACCAAGAAGAGATTACTTTAAAAATTTACCTTTTCTAACTAGTTTGTGAGACAAATGTATTCAGTGACTATTCATGTCTAATTGTTCTTGCACTAAAGGTCACTGGAAAGAAAAAGAAAGCCCAACTGAAATTCACCTCTTCAAAGAATAACACACGTTAGATCATTTTAGAATAAAAGCTGCTTTTTGGTACTTCAGTACACAGGAAGTTTAATTCATGTATTTAGCACAAAAAATCATTTTCTTTTATCTTTTTAAAATTTTTATAGCCTTTCAGGTTTAATTTAATCTAATGTTTTTATCAGGTTTTTTCTGTTTTTTTTTCATTTTGTATACATTTACTCCTTTTGTTTTTTGTCCTAGACAAGGACTTTGTGGACTAATCTCAGTTGTTCTTGTGGTACTGAAACATAGCTGTCCCTATTTCTTTACAGATTGTGGGTTACTTTGTTGTTATCATGTCATAATCGAGCAATTGCACATTTATATGTAGATTTCAAGGCCTATGATACTTGCCATGTGATCTTTTTAGTTAAAAAGAAAATCTACCAAGCTCTGCTATAGAAGAGTGGCTCACACATGATTGTTAGGAGGCGTCCTAAATAGCAGTGTATCAGACTGCGTCCTCACACATTTTAGGGAGGTGCTGCCATGCCTGATGTCTTGTTCAGTCCCCTTGACCAACATGATAGAAAGAGAACTAACTCCTGAAAGCAGTCCTCTGACCTCCATGTGAATGCCATAGCACCTGGGTACACAGAATAAATAAGTGTAATAATAATTTAAAATACATCTCTAACAAATGTCAGGTGACTGTGAGCTTTTGTTTGAATACCACATTAAGGGGCACTACCATGGATATTACTAAATGCATCTTTGATTTCTGTGGTCTCAAATAAATTACATGTTGAATATTCCTTCTCTGAATTGCCTGGAACCAAGAGTGTTTCAGATTTTGGTCTTTTTTTTCTATGTTTGAAATATTTGTATGAGTCTAAGTATATTTAATTGAATATTCCTAATCTTCAAATTCAAAATACAAAATATTTTCAGATCTTAAAATTAGCATAATATTATTGAAAAGCACCAAATCTTGGAATAGTTCCTATTTTAAATTCTTTAGAGATGCTTGAGCTCTGGTTTGTATACTACTTGCCAATAGTGTTGAATCCACGATCCTTTTAATTGTTTTTCTCTCAAGAACGCAGCTTTATAATAACTACAAACTCTGAATAGCTCATATGTCTGTGAGCTGTGGAATGCACAGCAGTAAACTGTGGTTTTTTTTCCTACACCATAACTAAAACAAAAAACTTCCAATATTATTTTCCTATCTAGTGAAGGGACACAGGAGACCACGGTGGATGCTCTACTTCTTTATTGCTCTGTGGGGTTCCAAACTGACTGGCTTAGTTAGGGGTTTGGGGATTGCTCAGAAGACACAAAGTGAAGGTAATCTTTGCACAGAGTACTGATTAGACTGACAGTCATTTGTGAAAATTTATTATTTGTTTCTTGGGACTTGTATGCTTAGCTTTGTTAACAAAGCTTAAAAATCCTGGTAACTTGAGAATGTTAAGAGTTAATTTTTTTAAATGTTAGGGATGCTTTTCAGTTCTTGTGTGTATAGCAAAGGAACACCGTTTCCATGGTAACTTCTGCCTCATCTGTTTAAGTGCCTGACTTTCTGAAGATTTTTGTGTCTGTTTTGTTCTGTGTGTGTGACTATATTGATGAACCAAAAAAGTTTATTTTGAATTGTTTTGGTATTCTTAATATATTTAAGGCACAAGTTTTAAGTTCATTAATTTCTCCATACTGGCTTCCTAATTGTGTTAGGATAAAAGAATGTTGTATTTAAACAAGAAGATGAGTTTGGCTTGCAGAGGGTGGAGGGGTAGAAGTGATGTTAACAAAACATTTGCTGAAATGGAACATGATTTTAGATCTTTTCTTTTCTCTAATAAGCAGCCTTTTCTTTGCCCCATCTAATACTGGTGGTATGTTTTCATGGAGACCACTTATTCTGGATGAGTGGGCGTTTGTATGGTGAAAACGGAAGGGATAGGAAGAAGATTCTGACATTGGTCTAAAGCCTGTGGTAAAGCTGCTTCTCTGCCTCACCCATCTTGTTTGTCAGGATTGGTTTTGCAGGGTCCTAAAGAAACCGTTTCTCAGCAGAGTACATGGCATCTGTCTTGTGAGTGGGGGAGGGAGGAATTGTCTGGAGGCTGGTGAGCTTGTGTGTGAGGAGATGATAGCTGTGTGACTGTGAATATTCCAGAAGGAGACTGCAGAACTCCTGAGAGTCACTTAAGAGCAGAGACTGTTGGGTTTCATTTCTGTTGCTACGTAGGCAGCACATTGTGAGGTTGCAGACAGAGTTAATTATGTACAGCAGTGAGCCCTGCTGTTCCCATGCTTTCCTGATGCAGTAGCACACAGCACAGTGATTATTGCCTAAAACCTAATGTCCTATGTATATGAATTTTCATGTGTATTAAGGAAGAGAAAACAAACCTACATTTATAGATCTTTAGTATGAAATGCTTTCATATTTTTGTTAGAGAATACATTGTAAGTGCATAGAGGATTTTTTTAAATGCATGGAGAATTTTTACCTTTCATCTAGCAGTTGCTGCCATAAGATGATGTCACCTTGCAGCTGATTGGCTGTTGCAGCACCTAGGGCAGGGAAGAGAAAGAAAAATGCCGGCACAAACCTCAGTGGTGGTTCTGTGGTTGTTTCTATCTATTTTTGATAGAATCTTTGATTAGTATCAAATTTACTGTATTTGGCCATGTGAACTATTAGGACCTATTCTAGGGTGAGGGAAATTCGGAGGAATGAGGCGGCTGATTTGCAAACGGATCTGTGATTGTAAGTTGCAGAAATCTGGGCATAGGAATAAGGCAGGGCGTGCTGCAAGATTGACTATGGGAGGGGCTGGCAGAAAATGCTTCTACGAGCATCAAAAAGAGATGCTTTGACTGCACTAAAGTTGATGTGCTTGCTTTAATGTTTTGACATGTATGTATAGGAAATGTGACAATATGGTATTTTTTATTTTAAATCACAGAGGTTATTTTGTAAAGTGTTGACCAATATATAAGTATTTATTCAAAGGATCTTTATATTTTATTTGTATCCTACCTAAATAATGATTTTTCTCTGTAACTCTATTTTATTTTTGAGTCTTAATGAAAAATGGTAAAAAGCTTAGCTTCCTTAAGAATTTATTTCCTTATGCTTTGTGCAGATAAAAGCTTTGATGATGAGGAATCAGTGGATGGAAATAGACCGTCATCAGCTGCTTCAGCCTTCAAGGTTCCTGCACCTAAGACATCTGGAAATCCAGTCAACAGTGGGAGAAAGCCTGGTTCAGCAGGTGGCCCTAAGGTTGGAGGTAATGTAGATCCATGTGCATGCTTCATGCATCTTGATGCTCAGTGCTTCGGAGCAGTGTGTTTATTCATGACTGTTGCAGAAATGCAGGTCTGGAAAGAGTGTTGCCTCTTACAAATGAATATTATAAATTGTTACTTCCACAAGAATGTATATGAATTTATGTTTTCTTGTGGGTACTTATTTTTAAGCCACCGGCTTTAAAGGAAAGATTCAAAGTGGTTTTTGGTGTGTATCTTTTAAAGGGAGTGGTATTTCAGAATTGGGCCATTTTTTTGGTGCTATAGCTGTGCTTTGAAGTGCAGAAATAGAGAGTGTATTTTCACAGTTGTCCAGGTGTAGTAAATTAAATACTTGAACATTTAAAATTGCTGAAAATACTGGGCCCTGAATAAGTTGTCATAATAGAAATTGGGTGGTGGTAAAGTAAAACTGACTTAAAAGCATGGTTTCTGGGTTGATAATAATAAATTTAAAAACTGGGAAAAAGCAGGTTTTTATGCAATTATGTAGTATATTCTTAGGATTTTTGGAACTGTTTCTAGTGTAATTCTAGTATATTTTTTCATATTAGAATCCCTGAGTTAGGATTCATGAATATCTGCCAGGTGTGAATTTCTGCTGGATCTCTCTGGTAGAATGAGTCTGTAAGAGCACATACTATTCGAATGCTAGAGGTCTCTAATCTTTACACACTCACAGAGCATCTTGTTTACAGTAAATCAAGGTGTGGAAATCAAGGTCTTGAAGATTTTTGTGTTTTATCTTTCTGTCTATGGTACCTTGATTAACAACAAAAAGAAAAGGAAAATAAAAACTGCATCTTCACTAGGTTGGTTCCATTTCAGCACAACCAAACATGCTTTCCAAGTCATGTGATTCAGAATGTAGGGATGCTATTGGGGATCTTCCTTCCTTATTTCCATCCTCCCTCCCTCCTTCCCTTCCTTTTTTCCTTCCTTCCTTCCTTTCTTTTTCTTTTTTTATGGATGGGAATCTCTGTGTTGCCCTGGTGGCTGGAACTGACTATGTTTATAGTCCTTGCAGACAGGAAGATGTTAGGTAGGAGTTGTGTCGTTGTCCTAGAGAGTGACTCCTGATAAACATTGGAGCCTTGTCGTTTTTTCCTCTCCCTTCTCTTCTTTCTCCTCCTCTTACGTTTCAGCAGTTGTAGATTCATTCTTGTTTCTTTTGTCTGCCCTGCCCCCCACTTGATTACTGTTTGGTCATGGGCTCTTTTTTACAGGTTGTGTCTCCCTTTGTAGCCCAAGCTGACCTCTAAATCATAATTACATGTGCTCGAGTTACAGGCATGTGCCATCATGCAGGCTTCCACTGCTCTTTTCTGTCTAAGAAACAAGCTACTAGCCAGAGGGTATTGATAATGTTTCTGAAATTAATGCCATTTTTGGCTATCAGTTTTTCTTTGAAAACTCTAGATGTTCTATGTTGGCAGACACATTGATTTTTAAATTAGCTGCCGGGAGTTTTCTTATACTTGCTGCAGCATCTTTGTATTGGAAGGACCTACTCGCAGAACTCACAATGTTATCCTGATTGATGGCCAGTTATTGTGTGATGAAAGGAACCGGCTCTACATACAGTCAAGAACAGGAAGTTATGTGCACTAGCTCTAGTTAGAGAATGACTTCTTTTTACTTATCTCTACACAGACCAGTATTTTCTTACATATATCTTTTTCCTACCTATTATTTTACCTTCTTTTATCACAGTCTTAAATTGGTTAAAAATTATGTCTAGATATTTGGATTGCCTTTATTTAGTTTTTTTTCCTGTTACAAACCATGCCATCATTCTTTAATGTATATCTTTTAGCATATCTTAACTGTCCTCCTATGACTAAGTTTTTTATTGTTGTTGTTTTCTGATAGATTTCTTTTTTTAATTTTTAAATTTATTTGATGTGCATTGGCATTTCATCTGCATATGTGTCTGTGAAAGGTTGTTGGATCCCCTGGAACTGTTATAGACAGTTGTGAACTGCCATGTGGGTGCAGGGAATTGAACTAGGGTCTTCTGGAAGAGCATCTAGTGCCATTCATTCATTATTTATTTATTTATAAAAAAGAAAACAGTCTTTTCATTTTATATACCAAGCCCAGTTCCCACTCCCTCCCCTCCTCCTCTTCCCTCCACTTACTCCCCACCCCACCTCCCACCTACTTCTCAGAGAAGGCAAGGCACATTGCTTTGGGGAAGGTCCAAGGCTCTCACTACTTTTTCCTAGGCTTAGTAAGGTATCCATCCAAAGAGAATGGGTTCCAAAAAAGCCAATACAAGGATTAGGGATAAATCCCAGTGCCACTGCCAGTGGCCCTGTAGTCTGCCTCAGCTGTATGTCTGTCACCTACATTCAGAGGAACTAGTTTGGACTTGTGCTGTTTTCTTCCCTGTCTGGCTGGAATTGGTAAGCTCCCATTAACTCAGGTAGACTGTTTCAGTGGGTGAACCCATCATGGTCTTGACCTTTTGCTCATATTCTCCCTCCTCCCACTCTTCAACTGGACTTTGGGGAGCTCAGTTCAGTGCCCTGATGCAGGTCTCCGCCTCTGTTTCCATCAGTTGCTGGATGAAGGTTCTGTGGTGATGCTTAAGATATTCATCAGTCTGACTATGGGCAAGGCCAGTTTGGGTACCCTCTCCTCTGTTGCTTAGGGTCTTACCTGGGGTCATCCTTGTGGATTCCTGGGAATTTCTCTAGTGCCAGGCTTCTTGCTAGACCCATAATGGCTCCCTCATTCAAAATATCTCTTTTCTTGCTCTCATCTCTGTCCTTCTTCCATCTCGACTATTCCATTCCCTCAAGTTCTGCTCCCCCCTCCCCTTTTCCCCTTGTCTTCCCCTCTCGCCCTCCCTACTCCCTGTACCCCCAGGCTCCCAATTTTTTCAGGCGATCTTGTCTGTTTTCCCTTTCCAGATGGATCTATGTATATTTTTCTTAGGGTTCACCTTGTTACTTAGCTTCTCTTGGATCATGAACTGTCTAGGCTCAATATCCTTTGCTTTACAGGTAGTATTCACTTAGAGTGAGTATATACCATGTTCATCTTTCTGGGTCTGGGTTACGTCACTCAAGATGTTTTTTCTAGTTCTATCCATTTGCATGCAGATTTCAAGATGTCATTGTTTTTTACCTCTAATGTGTAAATGTGCCACATTTTCTATATCCATTCTTTGGTTGAGGAGCATCAGGGATACAAGGAACATATCTAAACATAATGAAAACAATATACAGCAAGCCAACAGCCAACATCAAATTAAATGGAGAGAAACTCAAAACTATCCCACTAAAATCAGGAACAAGACAAGGCTGTCCAGTCTCTCCATATCTATTCAATAGAGTTCTTGAGATTCTGGCTAGAGCACAAGACAACAAAAGGAGATCAAGGGGAATTCAGATTGAAAAGGAAGAGGTCAAACTTTTGTTTTTTACAGATGATATGATAGTATACATAAGAGACCCCAGAAACTCTATTAGGGAACTTCTACAACTGATAAATACCTTTGTAATGTGGTAGAATACAAGAGCAACTCAAAAAAATCAATAACCCTCCTTTATACAAATGACAAAGAAGCTGAGAAGAAATCAGAGAAATATCACCTTCACAATAGCCACAAATAACATAAAATATCTTGGGGTACCAACCACTAACCAAAGAAGTGAAAGACCTGATTGACAAAAACTTTAAGTCTTTGAAGAAACAAATTGAAGAAGATACCAGAAAATGTAAAGATCTCCCATGCTCTTAGATAGGTAGGATCAGTATAATAAATCAATAGATTCATTACAATGCAATGCAATTTAGTGAATCTATAGATTCAAAATCCCAACACAATTCTTCACAGACCTTGAAAGAACAATCCTCAATTTCATATGGAAAAACAAAATATCCAGAATAGCCAAAACAATCCTATGCATTAAAGGAAGTCCCAGAGGCATTACCATCCCTGACATCAAGCCCTATTATAGAGCTACAGTAATGAAAACAGCTTGGTTTTGGCATAAAAACAGAGGTTAGCCAATGGAATCGAATTGAATTAATCTACATACCTATGAGCACCTGATTTTTGACAAAAAAGCAGTTAGTGCTCTTAATCCCTGACCCGTGTTTTTAGCCCCAGTTGTTTTTTCTAATGGCCTGGTAATGCCGTGCAGGTGCCTTATTACTGAGGCACCTCCATCATATCATGCCTTTAGTTTTTGAGGGCAGTAGAACTAAATGACTTGTGGCAAACCAAAGAAATAATGAATGAATATAATTATTAACAGTCTTCATGTACCTCATGCTTCTTCAGGTTAGCCTCAAGCCCATTCTGTAGCCCATGCTGACTGGCCTTGCACTTTGTATCCTCCTGCTTCAGCGTCCTGAATACTAGGATTATAGGTGGGTGCCACTTGTTTGACTCACTGGAATGAGCTTCTGAAGCTCAACCGAATGAGAAGGGAATAAATATTAGCAGTTCTTAAATTTGACCATGCTCTCCAAAAGGTTCACAAGTCTAGTTCTGAAAAGCGTAGTTCTTGAAGACCTCATATGTTCTTGCTTTCTTCATCTCCTCCTTTTCCCGCCCCTCCTGCACCTCTTCTGAAATATTGTTTTTTTAAATTTCATTGAGGAGCTTAGGCACTTTATTTTCTTAGTTTCACTGATGAGCAGATTGTAGTTTGGAGAAGTTAGGTAACTTTCCTAGGGTAGAGTATTTATTAAGGAACAAAGTATAAAATCCACCTTGCTGTTGCTGCTGCATGCTCATCTGTTGACAAATTGGATTTGCTGGTACTGTGCTCCGAAGTTAAGCAGTGATCAGCAGCCCTGTGTCAAATTAGAATTTAGCCAATGGGACTCTAGCAGACAGTAAGCAAACCTGTGACTTTTACAATGTAAATGCCAAGACTTTTACTTATGTTCTTGTTGAAATTTGGCCTTCTTTGTTATATTTTAGTTTGGAGTTGTTTCTTTTTAATGTTTGCCTGGAGCC